TTTGTTCGTTTCTTAGTGATTTTATCACTATAGGCCGGGCTGAAATAATCCTGAATATCAAGTTTGGGATACCATTTGCCAACCAAGACGTGGTGTCATGATTTGTTGCCGAGTAAAAATCAACGCGGTCAAAAACAAAGGAAAATGAGATATTTGATGAAGCATTATTAGAAATGAATCACACTCACAGCAAGGAAGATCTATCTATCTATTTATCTATCTCAATATGTTCCTATCTATCTATCTATCTATCTATCTATCTATCTATCTATCTATCTATCTATCTATCTATCTCAATATGTTCCTATCTATCTATCTATCTATCTATCTATCTATGTCGGTTCATATCTATTTGTATCTATCTCACGATCTCTCTTGCTTTCTCTCTCTCTCTATCCAGTAAGTTCATATATATTTATCTTATCTTTCCAATTTTCGCTCTCTTTCAATCATTCTCTCTTTTGCTCACTCTAAGTCGGTTCATATATATCTAGATTTATCTCCCCACCCCTCTCTCTTTCACTCTCTGTCTCCCTATCTATCTATCTATCTATCTATCTATCTATCTATCTATCTATCTATCTATCGCAGTCGGTTCAACTCTTGTTCTCTTTCTATCTCCCCACCCATCTCTCTCTCTCTATATATATATATATATATATATATATATATATATATGTGTGTGTGTGTGTGTGTGTGTTGCCATCACTCTCTTTCTATCTAGAAATATACATGTCCAGTTTTAATTATATACAGTTAAAAATACATATGGACATAAAAAATGTCTTGAAAGACCTAATTTCTCAAGTTTACGCTAGAAATGCATTTTTTAATGCAATCCTTAACAACATTTAAGCAAATGATTTTCAATAAATTCTTTTCTTCAGAAGTTGAACATTAAAGGAACAGCCTCATTTGTTGTTTATCACGCTATAAACACGAGATTATGTGAACGGGAAAAAAACCGGTAAGGATTTTATATGCAATTTCTTTTTCTATTCATGTATCTACTTAGGTTTGCACAGTATTCACTTTGACTTTTAAGTCTGGCACAAGGTCCTATCTTTTTCGGAGAATAAGTATCAACATTTACTCGCACGTTGCTTAATCTGGTGTAAAATTTAACACTGAAAATGTTTTTTTAATATCTTTTGCTTGGAATGGGAACTTTGCTCCAAGTACTCTATTTATTATAGGTAGTACTGTCCATCACATTCAAAGATTTCTGAATATTCTTGTTATTATTAGTGATTATTGTGCCAATAAAGCTGCTATTCATTACTAACAACTGGAAATATTTTCCCTTTCATATGCATGACATTTCTATAGTAAGATTATTTTCATCGAATTAAATAATAAAATCATTGGGGAATGCTTTTCTATAGTAAATCTATTAGCAATGCATTCGCATCATACATATAACCATATTATTCTGTCTGCAAGCATCTAAATCAATCCATGGACACTGAAAATATATTTTTCTTTATTTACAATACATTGTTACCGTAAAATCATTTCCGACATAATTCTACAGTACTATTAATTTCAACGCATTCGTTCGATGTGTCGTGCCCCTTCAGAGTGTCGGCGATCATGGCTCTCCATGACTTCCTCTCCTTTGTAGCCCTTAGTAAATTTGTCTTTTTGCTATCTCTCCTAATCCCTGTTTTACCAACCTTTTGCACAAGCTCGTTAGTGGGATGTGGGGTAACTCACATGTTAAAAGTGGGTTTGTCAGATCGTAAGGGGGACTAAATCACATATTAAGAGGTCGGTAAACTTGATGTTAAAAAGGGAGTAGATGAAATGGGAGTAGATGTTGGGGGGTGCAAATCATATGTTTAAATAATGGAGTAATAGAGTTATTAATGAGTTGAAATTAATGCATGCAAGATTTCACAGCTCTTGCATCACTCCTTCATAGCATATGAACATTTCGGCACACCTTTGTTAAGCATTGTTATACAGTGTAGCAACCCTGGTTATATAATCTTTAACGTCGACATTGTTATTATTATTGCTGTCACCATAGACTGCTTCTCAACACTTATTAAAAGAACACAAAATAATTGAACACTACCAGCCTTATGAAGAATCTCGTACATTGGCGCTACAGAATAACAGAACTTTATCAAATAACAGAAACCACGACACTTGAGGACTTTCAGAAGCGGCAACAACTAAAATGGATAGCAAATGTATCTCGGAGCCAAACCAATGACTTATTTAAGATGTTAACATTTCCGACTATTTCAAACAAAAGATTAGGAAAGAAAACTCTCATCAATACTAGAAAGGGCGATAATAGTTGACATGGTAATCCCATTTTTCAGGAAAAAAAAATCCTTTTAACAGAAAGATTTGAAAAGTTTCTACCAAAAGTATCCACTATCCATGACACCACCCGTACATCCATATATATATATATATATATATATATATATATATATTGTGTGTATTTGGGCAGCAATTTTTCATTCATACACGTTTCATTAAATAATATAGACAAGTGTTGTCTATTTATTTTATGTAAATTTTTTTCGTAACGCCTGATAAGTTTAATAACATTACCGTTGAACGAAGAAAGAAATTCACAATATTGATTCATATTTTTTATGTTGGTCACACCACAAACTCGCTTTCACGACGCTTGACACTACATTTGAATGAAAACTCTAACATTTTTAGGAATTTAAAACAACATGCCTGCCCGCACACACAATTCCGTAAAATACTTGTCGAAAACACAATTATACTTCGATATGAAAACAATAGACAAAAACTAAAAATCCTTGAAGCATTATACATTAAACAGTTGAAACCCAACCTAAACAAAATCAATTATGGCATCTCTACAAATATTCTTAAATGTCTATAATTGGTAACAGAAGCCATGTGGGTGTGTGTGTATGTATGTTTGAATATATGTGTATGTGTGTGTTTGTGTTAAGATAAAGAACAAATAGAAATATTTACTAATCTAACATGTTTCACGTTTATTAAAACTTCATCATTGATTGAGAGAAAAAAAACAGATAAAATAACAGAATTTGGTGACTGACCAATCGGAATCGACCCAAACAAATTTAAAAATACCAAAACTTTTGTCTGTTTTCTTTCAGTCTCTGTTTGTCAAGAGGGCGGCTGCTGTGAGACCCTATGTCTGGCAACAGGACTCTGCACCATGCCACACAAGAAGGAGAACCCAGTCATGGCAATTACTGCGACCACATCACCCCTTGCATCTGGCCACCTAACTCTCCAGCCTGCAACACCCTTGATTATTATGTGTAGGGCGCAGTTGAGCGAGGACTAATAAAACTACTTGTAACACGAAAGATGAGCTGGAAGCAAGGATTATGGCTGCATTCACCAACTAAACTGTCAGCTGTATAAAATCGCTTTCACAGATTTACAATGGATTCGGGCGAATGAATTCTATAGTACCAAATAACAGGAACCACATACTATGAGAACTGGATTCAATGGATAACACATGTAACATGAAGAGCATACAATGGTATAATCAAGATGTTGACTTTTGACACAACTTCAAATAAAAGGTTAGGAAGGAAACTCCCATTAATACTAAAAAAGAGCAATAACCTTAAAAACTAAACTTAAAAAACTTATTTTCCTGAAAAATTGTTTTAATAGAAAGGTTTTATAAATTCCAACCAACAGTAGTACTGGCTGTTCTGTCAATGAATACCGAATGTTTCCTTATAAGGAAACGGCTAATGTTATCATTACCATATACTTATAGTTTCTTCCCTGCTAACTTATGTAACACTGATGAAGTAATAAGTTCTAATATTATGTTAGTAACGTAAAAACATGAAACTAAATTTTCCATGCGCAAAATTTCTGGACGTCGGCAACAGGCTGTTTCATGCCTGAACGCAATTTTCAGGTCTGAAGATTGTATTCAAGTATGAAACAGATTATCGCAACTTGGTGTAGACATCAGCGTCCACACACACACACACACACGCGCGTGCACACACACATATGTATAAATATAGGTATAGGGTTTGGTAAATGAAATAACTAAGAGTATTTAATTACATTTTTTTTTATTATTGACTCATACCTACACGATGGAGTAATAAATAGCGGCTCGGATTGAGGAATCGGAGAGCCGAGTTCGAATTCCAGTTGAATCCATTACATTCACTTACGTGTTAATACCCTAAAAGGTATGAATCCTCTTCTCTCCGCCCCTCCCAGCTAAACGGGAAACCAACGAAACTTAAGTAGCACACCAAACGTAGGTATATATATATATATATATATATATATATATATATATATATATATATATATATCACCCCGTCTGCCTCCGCGCCGTTGCCGTCCTGTGACGACGAATGTGACGTTCTAACCTTTTGCTGATTCGGATGGGAATCTGGTTAGATTCGGTATCTGCTTTGTCGTTCCCAGCTCGCCTCCAACGTCTGGTTACCGAAGTAACTGCTTTGATTTCTAGTCTAACCTATCCACGTTGTGATTTGATCTTAGGTAGACGAAATCCATCAGTCGCTCTGCCGTAATGCAAGCCGAGTCCGAACAAGGGCAATACCGCACAAGTATATGTAAAAGAAAATAAAGTAACAACTCGAAAAGTTCAAATGTGTTAAAAAAGGAATAACAATATTTTCTATCTGGTTGCGAAATACAGGACTGCGTCTTTCTCCCAAACCGCTAATATGGATTCGTGACACTTTGCGTTTGTTAGGCGAGTCTTAACATCTTAAATTGTTCTTTTAAGAAACTGGTTTTGGTGTATCTTCAGGTGATATTCGTAAAACTTGTTTTGATGGTGTGAGTTTAAGTCGTTCTTCAAAAATAAATTGTTCTTGGTTAGAAGTTGAGGTCGTGATTGCGTGGATCTTTCAATCAGGTTCCTGCAAGGCGGGGCTCAGAGCTCACAGCTCAATTCTTGCCTGTCTTTCTAACCCCAACTAACTGCCTTCTACTCGTTGTGACTCTGCTTATATGGACGCCGACCAAAACCGGGGTGGGCCTGTCGGGGTTTGAGGCCACTTGATAATTCTAAATCCGCATGAAGGATTTCCTTTGTTTTCGCCCAGGAAAATTTATTAATTTCCATTTTTGGAAGTCCTTAATTCTAGTTTAAGGGAATCGTCCTCCCAAATTCTTCCTTTCTCATGTTGGTATCTCATACCAATCCCTTCAGAGGCGTCAACAGGTTTCCCCTCTCTCTCACAGTGGCATCTCACACCGATCTCTTCAGGGGGCGTCAACAGGCCTCCCCTCCTTCTTCACATGATTACCTTCGCCTACCGCTCACGCCACCATTCAGCAAATGGACGCCCAGCAGCGTGGGTGTGGCTAGACTGGCCTCGGTTTAAAAATCTCGCTCAAAGAAAAAAAAATTATCTTCCCTTTTTTTTTTCTTTTCTTTCTTTTCTTCTTCCCGACAACAAACCCTTACGACTCTTATCTCAACCGAACGCTGTCTGGAACTCGTCAACGAGATTTTCGCCAGCATCAAGTGGGTGGTCATCTGGCGACTTTGCACCCTGGTGCCAATTATTCGTTCCGATAAAATAATTTTTCTATCATGGCCAGCTCCGACAAAAAACAGGTGCTCTTCTCAAATAACATTTCCGCAGATAGTTAAAGGTTTAATCTTTCCCTCCTTCTACTCTGCGGGTGGTCCAGCTGACACCTCTCTCCGCCAGCGCGCGACCTGACCAATATAATCTCTTAGCATTCTGTCTTGTAGGCCACTTGACCGATTTGAAATTTCCATTATCGCTTTTATTCGGTGCGTCGTCATAAATCAAATTAAACCCGGCAGAACCGAGATCTTACTTTCTTCGCTAATGAAAATAAAATCTTTACCACTTTTCTTTGTTAGAAAAAATAACATCGCTCAGTGTCTTTTCGTGATAGCTTCTTATCACCTAATTTAATTCTCGCCTTTTCTTTTTTTTCCCGCAACCCTAAATAGTGTCACACACACACACACACACACACACACACACACACACACACACACACAAACATATATATATATATATATATATATATATATATATATATATATATATATATGAGCACGGAAAGCGTGATGAGGATAATGAGAACAAACGTGGATTGAATAAAAGCATTCATTCAAAATTCCAAATCTATGCATAAATAGCAGGACAAACCGGGTTCTATAGCCTTGGATGGCAACTGGTCTACCGCAGAAAGAAATGGCAACTGACTCAGGGAAAAATCTGCCTCGTCAGTCATGTATCGAAAGATACATTATCGCCTAAGTATGTATCATGCATAGCATATAACTGACTAACCCACACCTCATTCCTATTCCTTGCACTTAAACCCCAGTATTGCTTTAGTAGTATTTTTGTACCATTTTAATTTTGAACAATGAATCAGCGTCCATCCTATGAGCATCTGTATACTTTTTTTTAAATAAACAATAAGCTATATCTTGTGACCCGACGAGTTGGGTAACAAACGAAACTTAAGTCGCACACCAAACGTAGGTATATATATATATATATATATATATATATATATATATATATATATATATATATATATATAGCACGGGAGCGTGATGAAGATAAGAACAAACGTGGATTGTATAAAGGGATTCGTTCAAAATTTCAAAGTTACCGATTACGAAGACAGTCATCTAAGGAAAACCCCAAATATAACAACCAAAATGGTCATGCTCATTCGGATAATGAAAGGTGCAATAATACTTCTTCCTCTCCAAAATTCTGACAAAATTTCGAAAATCGATGGCCACAAGCATCACTGTTATGTTCTATAAAGTCTATTGAAAGGTCCGGAAGTTTGTCTAGGTTTTTATTTTATTATTTTTAATCTGTAATCCACTGAAACATCGAAATTCACTGAGAAATTTCCTCCATTTTGTCCTGTTGATTAGTTTCGGTTCAAGTGTTTCCCTTCCTTCCTTCCTTCCTTCCTTCCTTCCTTCCTTCCTTCCTTCCTTCCTTCCTCCGTTCCTTCCTTCCTTCCTTCCTTCTATCCTTCCTTCCTTCCTTCCTTCCTTCCTCCGTTCCTTCCTTCCGTCCTTCCTTCTATCCCTCCTTCCTCCGTTCCTTCCTTGCTTGCTTCCTTCCTTCCTCCGTTCCTTACTTCCTCCGTTCCTTCCTTCTATCCTTCCTTCCTCCGTTCCTTCCATCCTTCCTTCCTTGCTTCCTTCCTTCCTTCCTTTCTTCCTCCCTTCTATCCTTCCTTCCTTCCTTCCTCCGTTCCTTCCGTCCTTCCTTCCTTCCTTCCTTCTGTCCCTCCTTCCTCCGTTCCTTCCTTCCTTGCTTCCTCCGTTCCTTCCTTTTATCCTTCCTTCCTCCGTTCCTTCCTTCCTTCCTCCGTTCCTTCCTTCCTTGCTTCCTTCCTTCCTCCGTTCCTTCCTTTTATCCTTCCTTCCTCCGTTCCTTTCTTCCTCCGTTCCTTCCTTCCTTGCTTCCTTCCTTCCTCCGTTCCTTCCTTTTATCCTTCCTTCCTCCGTTCCTTCCTTCCTCCGTTCCTTCCTTTTATCCTTCCTTCCTCCGTTCCTTTCTTCCTCCGTTCCTTCCTTCCTTGCTTCCTTCCTTCCTCCGTTCCTTCCTTTTATCCTTCCTTCCTCCGTTCCTTTCTTCCTCCGTTCCTTCCTTTTATCCTTCCTTCCTCCGTTCCTTTTTTCCTCCGTTCCTTCCTTCCTTGCTGCCTTCCTTCCTCCCTTCTATTCTTCCTTCCTCCGTTCTTTCCTTCCTTCCTTCTATCCCTCCTTCCTCCGTCCCTTCGTTCCTCCGTTCCTTCCTTCCTTCCTTCCTTCCTTCCTTCCTTCCTTCCTCCGTTCCTTCCTTCCTCCCTTCTATCCTTCCTTCCTCCCTTCTATCCTTCCTTCCTTCCTCCGTTCCTTCTGTCCTTCCTTCTATCCCTCCTTCCTCCGTCCCTTCGTTCCTTGCTTCCTTCCTTCCTTCCTATTTCCCTGAAATCATTTATCCTTCTATCCAGCTCTCGTGCCCGTTCTTAGCGCGTATACATGGGCCAAGACAGAAACATAAATGAGAGATAAAATGTAGTTTCTCTACATGAAGACAGATTTTATTTAGTTGCCGTCTCATGCTGGCAGATTGTTACACAAGGTCAGTGCAATGTGTTTGAGCCTGGGCGCGTGCTCCGAGGCTAGGACCAAAATTACCGTTGTCATCGGGTATCAATACTTATTAATTTAGTGCAACAAGTGAGGTACAAAGACAAAAACACAACTGAGTTGCGCTTTGCCCGAAGACATAAACACAATTGAGAGATAAAATGAAGTTTATCCGCAGATACAACACTTTGCTCCCAGCTTTAAGGCCGAGTAAAGGCGATTAGAAGTTTTTTTTTATACTGAAACAATCTCGTCATTTTTGACGGGTTGTATACAAATGATTATTTTTTTTTTCTTCTCTGAACGATGTCAGTAATAAAAGCTTTACGTGATCAACAAAATGTTTTAAAGGCGATAAATTTAAATTTCTAATAGAATATAGTTTGAAAAGCATAGATTGTCTCTATTTTCTATTATTATATTACTTGTTTATCGTGTTAATTTTTCTTTCTCTTTTCGTGTTTCTTTTATGTTTTGATAGGATTTACGAGTCGGAATTAACATAAAGAGTTTTAATGACTCTTTCTTAAAACAAAAGCCTGAGAATTTTCCCCAACTCCAAACAGTTTTCTCCTCCACCCTTCCTACCCACCCCCGTTCATTCGCTTACTATTTTGATTACAAAATACTTGTTCTATTAATTAGTTACAGGTCATATAGCTTCTCTTCTTTTCGCTTGTTTGTTTATTTGTCTTTCTTTCTTTTTCTTTCTTCGTTTCTTTCTTTCTTTCTTTCTTTCTTCATTTCTTTCTTTCTTTCTTTCTTTCTTTCTTTCTTTTTTCTTCATTTTTTCTTCATTTCTTTCTTTCTTTCTTCATTTTTTCTTCATTTCTTTCTTTCTTCATTTCTTTCTTTCTTTCTTTCTTTTTTCTTTCTTTCTTTCGTCATTTCTTTCTTTCTTTCTTCATTTCTTTCTTTTTTTCTTTCTTCGTTTCTTTCTTTCTTCATTTCTTTCTTTCTTCCTTTCTTTCTTTCTTTCTTCATTTTTTCTTTCTTTCTTTCTTTCTTTCTTTCTTTCTTCCTTTCTTTCTTCATTTTTTCTTCATTTCTTTCTTTCTTCATTTTTTCTTTCTTTCTTTCTTTCTTTCTTTCTTTCTTTCTTTCTTTCTTTCTTTCTTTCTTTCTTCCAAAGCCTATGACTTTATTAGCGCTTAATCAAAAAGAAGGCATCATTTAGTCATATAAACCGAAGATGTTTCCCAGTTAAATGTAACTATTGACAAAGTTAAGCAACACGAAATTTGTTAATCTCTGAATGAATAAAGGTGCACACATGTAAAGCGCAACACATACACACGCACATATACACACATGCACATACACAGATCAAATGCATATCAAATGCAGATCAAATGCAGATCAAATATGGATCAGAATCCGATATGATGATAAGATAAAGAACAAATCGGAAAACGGTTGTCAATCTAACAGGTTTTATTTTTATTGAAGCTTCCTTCAGAGGTTTGGAACGGAGACCCCCCCCTCTCCACCAGCACTAGAAAGTGCGATAATAATGGATTTGAGAAACCAATTTTTCTAAAAATCGTTTTAATAGAAAGATTTTTAAAATTTCTATCAAAAGTAGCCATTATCCATTACACCAGCAGCACATACATTCACCCGCACATCATATATACGGCGTGCGATCGATAAATTGTCGTCTAAATAACGCAAAGATGAAAATAACACTGACATCCCATTTTAACAGATATATTTACCAAAATTGCACAAAAATATCTTGAAATGCAAAAGTGTAAATTTATTCCATTGGCTTCAACCACGGCCTCCAGACGACTTCAGAATCTCCTGCAACTCTGGACTGTCTCCTAATAAAATACGTGTTCTCCAGTGTTATCAAACATGGTAATAGCCTTAACGTGGAAATAAAATCTTTTCAAAACCATTTGGCATATGTGTTAAAAGGATCCCAAAATAAAACAACTTCAGAATGGTGGCTTAGTGGAAAAATTATTCGGTGCGTGAGAGTCTGGTGGATCAAAGCGTTCGTTGGTGAATTTGGTGACTTAGTAATTGTGTGTTCAATCCCTGGGTCAGGCTGTGTATACTTGGGTTCAGTGGAAACGGGGAGAGCAATAACTAAACAGTACTAAAATTAAGAACAAGACGATATCCCTAGACATGGGCAGTGGAACGAGAAAAAGTATATCCCCGTAGGTTACCCGGATCAACGTACAACTGATGAAGGCCGGAGGGTACAGCAGCCGAAACGATGTGATAAAAAAAAAAGATGCGGAAACTAGTCCGCATGTAAATAGGGTAAATGAATTTGTTCAAAGTGTTATAGTTACCCAGTGGTTGTGAGTTCGATTTCTAGATCAGGTACTGAAATCTATATAGTCTGGTTAAGCAGGGACTAGCAAAAATGACATTATATAGGGATAAAGATAACAAAATAATCAGCTTATACAAGCTACTATCTATCAGCCAAAAACACACACGTGAAGATCACCGAAGGGGAATTAGTTGAAATGTTATATCTGTAGTAACATCTATAACAAACCATTTACACGTTCCATGGTAAATGTTCAGGTGAGTCTCAATCTTTAGTTCCATCAGTTCAGGCCTTTACAATTAAGACACACCATGCTACTACCGCGGAGTTGAATCATCCTTATTTCCTTCGTATTCAAAAGGTAATAAGAAAATACCAATCAGACGACATTTTCCTAAGAACCGCCACTTTGAGGGACGTATTCTCTGATAGATGTTCACTTGAACTTTACAATATTACCCATTTCTAGTCAAGGGTCAATAATTATATCCTCATAATTTTCAGACACCCAATGCATGATAACAATTTTAAAAGTAACTCATTTCCTTGGGATGCTTTCGAGTCTTGTATTGGGTGAGATTTAGTATTAAAAACAAATTGAGATATGAGAAAGAGCTCGAGTAAATAAAAGATCATATATATATATATATATATATATATATATATATATATATATATGTGAAAGTGTATATATATATATATATATATGTAATTATTTATATATTATATGCGCGGTACTTATTAAAAAACGCTCAATATCAGAGATAGAGCTTAACATATTTGGTTGGATTGATGTGAGTTTGTCACAAACTCAATCAATTCAACCATATATATATATATATATATATATATATATATATATATATATATATATATATATATATATTTCAAAAGTTATAATTTTGTATGTATGTATTTATGTTGTGCTAGCCCGAAGTCACAAGTCAGCGTGCTGTGGTGGGTCAGATATAACGCTTTTTACTACACAAACTGTAGACAAGGCTTGCTTAGCTTTGTTACAGTATAAACCAGAGATGGGTTCTCTGGGTGTTGACCAAACACAAAGGTGCCTGAGCGGACATCTGAAATGGGGATTAATTAGCCGCCCTAGCAAACGGCTCTCCTCGGATACTAGTGGCCAGCCTTCATGTATGTATGTGTGTTCTTGAGATACAGTTTAAATGGTACATAATAGCCCAACCAATTTAGGATTGAACGCCTGCTAAGTGCAGTGCCAGATATCATTAAAATGAGACAAAGGGTTCTTTAACTGGTACCATTGTTTTTGTTTTTACGGCGTTTTAAATGGGAAATTCAGTATTTATTTTTTGATGCACATTCTAATACCAATCCGCATACATAAGCAAACACTTGCATATTATACTCCAACTATTATGTCTGTGAAAAATAATAAACTTTACTAATATATTATAACAACATTCTTAAATAAATTTAAATATGCATAGCACAACATATATACATGAAATTAACATCAGAACTTTTTTTTATAAACAACTACTTGAAAGGTGGAGAGGCTAAATGTGTCACATGATTTGATATTAAATAGATGCACGCTGATTTGTTGTCATTATGTATTTTGAAATAAATGCAAGAAAGAAACAAGTAGGTATAATAAAAAAATATAATTATTTGAAAAAAGTTTAGTTTTTTAAAGCTATTACTCCAGATTTTCACGCAATGTGTTAACTATGAAGCCTTGTGGAACAATAAACCTTCTTTTGCAGTCTTTAATGTTAATTGTTACTTTTGTATTTAAAGTACATTTTATGGAAGAAATTTCTCTTTTAATGCAAAAAAAAGTAAAACATATCTATTGATATCGTAAAATATTATATTTTCAAACTTGATATCAGGATATATTTGCATTAATGCGTCTTTAGTGCTTTTCGTTGTGGCTTTGACCGGAAAAATGACTTATTCTTAACTAATAGTTAATAAAAAATATACTTATTATTTTAAAAAAACTACAGCTATTTTAAGCTATTACTCCAAATTTCTACGCAATGTCTTATATATGAACAATAAACTTTCCTTTGCTGTCTTTAAAAACAAATTAAAATGTGTAATAATAAAATTGATAATATTTTTGTCTCATCATTTTTTTTTATCCTGAACTGTTTTTAAAAGAAAACTAGCGGGTTTATGGGTGGTCTAGTTATTATATAAAACTGTCAGTTTTTTGACAGTGTAGATAAAATCTTTATAATACTCTAAATAGCCCATAACTTAGTAGACGGTCGATTTAACGTGTTAGAGACTTTAAAAAAAAATCTGGTGCCAAATGGGGATTATTTGGTAATGTCTGTCTCTTCTTCAAGTAATATGCAATATGCTGAGGGGGGTGTCCTTGTACCAACAACCAGGAGTGAACTCTAAACTTACCACTAAAATAGATTCCATATATATATATATATATATATATATATATATATATATATATATATATATATATATATAATAAAAGAACTGTTTCTGTCATGTGACTTTGCACGCGCGAATGTCTGCCTTGTGCGTCAATGACTTACATGTTCTTTAATGTACACACACACACACACACACACACGCGCGCGCGCACAAACACACACATATAATTTAAGTGAGTTTGAAATAAAACATTAGAAAATTACATTCAATCCCACTCAGTCTGGACAACTAATACCTTACAAAAGGGAGTGATAAAAATAACGCAAAATGTCGCACATTTCGGCTTTATACAGATGATGTCAGACAGAAACGGAAATTGTCCATTTCAGTTGCAATCAACTTGTGTGTATTAAACATATGCATGTGCGCATGTACATTCTAATGCAAATGCAAAAAATTCGATTCTAATTCAAAAAACATTTTTACGTCAAATATACAGAGTGCGATGGATAAGTTGTCGTCTAAATTAAGCAAAAATGAAAATAACAATGACACCTCATTTTAACAGATTTACAAAAATTACGCAAAAATTTCTTGAAATACTAAGGAGTAGATTTATTCAGTAAAATTTCCATTGGCTTCAACCACAGCCCCCAGACGAATTCAGAATCTCTCGCAACTCTTCTGGACGGTCTCCTTGTTTAACTTAGTGAATGCTGCTATAATCCTTGTCTTCAGTTCATCTTTGGTGTTACAAGGAGTTTTGTTAATATCTCACTCAACTGCGCCCCACAAATAATAATCAAGGGGGTTGCAGTCTGAGAAGTTAGGTTGCCAGATGTAAGGGGTGATGTGGTCGCAGAAATTGCCCCACAGCCATGACTAGGTTCTCCTTCTTGTGTGGCGTGGTGCAGAGTCCTGTTGCCAGACATAGGGTCTTCCAGCAGCCACCCTCTTGACCCAAGACAGAACTGCCTCCTGAAGGCACTTGATGTAGGCCTCCGTGTTGAGTTCGAGACCCCGTGAGAAGAAGAATTGAGGCATAACATCGCCATCACAAGTGATCACTCCAAACAAATTCTTTCGAACTCTTTCCGAATTTTCTGTACTGTTCTCAGATTGACAACCAAAAATGTTCGGATTGGAGCTACCGGCGCGAATGCCAAGCAGTACAGCATGCCTTTTCCAAATTTATGACGGAGTGAGTTGCGTCATGGTGTTCTTTTTTTTTTCTCACAGACGGTACCCACCCTACCCTACTATACTGGGCCGTTGACAAAGTAAAAGTCAAACAATGCGCATGCGCGAAATTAAAAATATAAAATGGCGACAATTTACACATCGCAATCTATACAGACCTTTGAAGCTTTTTATGATCCCCCCACCCTGTAGAAGGAACTCCTTCCTGATTGACTATGTTTTCAAGGGTGGAGTTTCAGAAATTGAGGGTTGGTGAGTTTAATTAACTCATAATTGGTGTGGCTGGCCAGTTTCCTGTTTGCTCAAAGTTTGCGAGAACTATAAAGAAATCACAAGGCCGAAAGCTTCAAAAAGTTGAAAAGTGGCTCCAGAAAAAATATTTACGCGTGCCCATTGACTCTATGGCGTTCAACCGCTAATTAACAGTTTTTGTTTTTGTGCTGCTGGGGTTTCACATACTCCCCTTACCAGACCAGGGTCTGGCGAGGCCCAGGATTTAGTCGCCGACCACACAGGTCTTGAATTCAGAATTATCTCCTAGACCGGTTTCTACCCAAAGCTATAAGATCCAGCTTGTCACTTAGCTGGGCTTGGGGATGAGATGGATTCAAACCTTTCCCAAGTATTTTTGCCCGTAAGTGAGTGTAATGAACTTGACTGGAATTCGAACTCGCCTCTTCGATTATTAAATCCTAGCCGCTATCCATTTGCTCCACATAAATATAGTATTTTAAATGAACCAATAAATATATTTTAAATGGATTTTGATGATCTTACCGTTAACGAAAATAGTATAAATAAATACAATAAGAATAATAAAGAAAGTGAATGAAAGAAAGAAAGAAAGAAAGGAAGAAAGAAAGAAAGAAAGAAAGAAAGAAAGAAAGTACTTATTTCGTATTAAGGGACCCCCCCCCCACTAAGAATTTAAATTGAAGAAAGAAGCAAGTACTTTTAATCGGCAATCAATCGGATAGAAACTTGTTGGTGGAAATCTCTGTAAGGTATCAAAGTGGTATCTTGTTTGTAGCATGGTCCGTTAGTTTGTTGTTCATGTTAATGTTGCTTTTGGTATCATTTGAATGCGTACCAGTGTAAAAACACGCCGACCGTAACAAAAAAAAAAAAAAAAAAAAACTACTCGAATTAGCGATGCAGAGTGTCAGCAACACAAGTGTTTGGATGAAAACAGTTTCGGACCATTAGTTCTCAGTGGGACAGAAAAGCTTGATCATCTAGCGCTGACCAGGTCCTTAAGCACAAGAAGAGGCCATAGTCAAGTAACCACCGTGACCATCCTACCTCTGACGACAAAATCAAAAGTGTCAGGATTTAGATAAACAACAATAAATGTATAAATAACCAGTTACGCTCACGGACAGGTGTTCAATGAACATTGATGGTCACAATCCAAAGATAGTTACCTTTCTGTTTAGTTTCGATTTTCCGTTTTGTTTTCTTTCTTTCTTTTTTTTTTGACTCGACTGAGACCACTTGAGTTTGTAAACATTGAGTGTTAAGGATGATATGAAAAAGGTGGAGAGGTAAGTCGGTGTATGTTTTTGGGGAGATGAGAAGAGCGAAGGTATTAATTTTCCTACGGAATAATCAAAGATCTCTGTGGTCATGGCAAGATGACTACGCACGTGGACATGGCTATTCGACGGGATACGCTTGGACAATCTGTTGCTAGATTTATAGCAAATAAACATCAGTTCATGGGGACGGACGCGTGGGGGCTTGGTAACGCTTTAACAAAACATTCGTTTATTTGCACCAACATCACCCTATTCTTTCTTTCTTTCTTTCTTTGAATATATTCCTCTTTTTTCTTCGTTTTAATATACATTTTGATTTCTTACCTACTTTCTTTTTACATCCCTTCTTTTCTTTTGTCCTTTCTTTTCTCATTTTCTTTCTCTTACCTTCCTTTTTATTCCACTGGAAGCTTTAATTATTCTTTACTTATTTCTTTTCGTTTTTCTTTCTTTGAATATATTTCTCTTCTTTCTTCGTTTTAATGTATATTCTTTTTAACGTCTGTTTTCTTTCTTTTTCTTTGTCCATTTCTTTCTTATTTTTCTTTCTTTTTTCAATGGAATTATTTTGTTTTTCTTATCTTATTTTATTTCCATTTACCCTTTTTCTTCCTCCCTTTTCTACTGGTAATTTTCATTGTTCTTTCTTTCTTTCTTTCTTTCTTTCTTTCTTTCTTTCTATTCCTCTACTTTTAATGTTTATTCTTTTTTCTTTTAACGTCTTTTTTCTTTCTTTGTTCATTTCTTTTTTTCATTTTCCTTTCTTCCTTTTTCATCGGATATTTTCTTCCTTTTGTCTCCTTCGTTCTTTCCCATCAACCATTCTTTCTTTCTTTCTTTCTTTCTTTCTTTCTTTCTTTCTTTCATGATTAAATTTTCTTCTCCAAATTTTCTTTCTTTCTTCGTTTCATTTTTCTTTCTTTCATGATTAAATTTTCTTTCTTTCTTCCTTCTTTCTTTTTTCTTTCTTTCATGATTAAATTTTCTTTCTTTCTTTCTTTCTATTCCTCTACTTTTAATGTTTATTCTTTTTTCTTTTAACGTCTTATTTCTTTCTTTGTTCATTTCTTTTTTTTATTTTCCTTTCTTCCTTTTTCATCGGATATTTTCTTCCTTTTGTCTCCTTCGTTCTTTCCCATCAACCATTCTTTCTTTCTTTCTTTCTTTCTTTCTTTCTTTCTTTCTTTCTTTCTTTCTTTGCCTTTTGTTCATTTCATTCTATCATTCTTCTCAAATCCAACCAAGCATATATCAATACTTCTTTCTATGTGTTTTCTACATTTTTCCTTTAAATCTATCCATGTCGTGCACTAAATATCTTCTTTCTTTCTTTCTTTCTTTCTTTCTTTCTTTCTTTCTTTCTTTCTTTCTTTTGTTTGTCGCTCACTCTTATTTCAGCGTAACCAAGCATATCTTGGATTGCAGAACTAAACAGCCACTGAATTGTGTCCGACGAAGAGAAACAACAACGTCGAGTTTACTCAAATATCCATTTCACTTGACTGTAACGCACACGGACACAAATGGCTACCTCAATTAATCATATTATTTATTTATAACTATACGATAGCATAACCTTTCATGACCGCCACTGATGGCCGTGGGTAGAAGTTAAGCAAATTCTTCATTATCACTTTGGGGTCAGTAAACTGCCACTTTTAACAAGATACACACCACTTCGTATTGTCTTATGTCAGAAAAATTATAAAAAATCTTGTATATTATAGATCTCCATTCGCACTAGTCTTACTCTTACCAGTCACAAATTATTTACTTTTGATTCCAATGTTTTGTCGTTGGGTGTCTAGTGATTAATGTTGATAACTTCAATTGGGTTGTAACGCTGAAAACTTGCACAGTGTCGCCCCCATTCTCTTTATTATCAAGTAATATGAGGGTCGAGTCGAATTTCAATCTAAATATAAAATTCTGTGAATTACGTCAGTCTGACCGTCCCTCACACCCTCAAAAATAGCCATACACTGACTAATCGAAACCATATTTTGGGGAGAAGTGAAAACAGGTAAGGGGATAAAAAGTACAGTTGCTTTTACTAAGGTGCGTAGCTTAGTACAATAAATTTTCATTAATGTTTTTGGAAAAATTAAGTTTTATTATTTAACATACAAAATAATCCCACTATTTAAAAAAAAACAATTTAATGATTAAAATAACAAATACTTATTTAATAATAATGCAATATTGTTTTTTGGCATATCTTTTCTTTATCTTTTAGTTTTTATATACAAAATAAAAAGAAAAAAAAAGTTTCCATTTCGCTCTGCGTTTGCGAGAACTATAAAAAAATAACAAGACCGAAAGCTTCAAAAAGTTGGAATTTGTCTCCAGAAAGAAATATTTACGCATGGCCAGTTGTATGTTGCATGCTCAAGAGTAAGAAATACTAAGATTTTATTGTTAAAAAGGAAAAACTAAATTTTCTTAAATATTGTTTACCATGAAGATCTATAAAATTAAAGAAATTATTAAACCGCGAAGTCAGGTATATTTTTCCAAACAAATCGCTTAATCAAATTTCATCGATTGGTTTGCGAAATTGAACGAAACGGATAGTTTTTAAATCTCGACAAAAATTGTTAGCGATAACTTTAACAATACTAAATACTGTAAGGATTTCAACACTCGTCAGGGTGTTACAAAAAATCTAGTATTTGAAATGGTAGGAAATTTGAAGTGTGTAATTTCTGTGATGTTATGTAAGTAACGTCTGATAAGAATATGAAACTGTATTTTTCATATCTAAAATAATTATTTCCTAGCAATACCTGTGGAAACCGTTTTTGTATTTGAATTTTCTGATGAATCTTAACGCTTACGTTAATGATTGACTATGCTCCTTGCGAGTTTCACGACTATAAAATAACCATGGAAAATCCCGCTATTGCTTCGTTAATATTTAAGCTTAAGAGCATTAGCTAAATATTACAATGGAATCTAGTTACGAATCTAATAGTACGCTTAACGTCGTGCGGTCGAGGTACCAAAGGTGAATTCTCATAAGCACAATTACAATAAAATGTTTATAGAAAATTTACAGTGAAGCCGTCAGGGCTGTGGAAAAGTGACTGAAGTCGAGACATCAAGTCAGTACCGATAACATTGCAGAACCTTCTTTTATTTTTTGTCGATCATCCGTCATATATATATATATATATATATATATATATATATATATATATATATATTATATTATATATATATATATATATAAGTGAATATTGAAGTCAATACTAAGAGGCGACAGGCTGTTTCATGCTAGACGCAATCTTCAGGCCGGCCTGACGATTGCGTCTAGCGTGAAAAACCTGTCGCCTCTGAGTGTTGACTTCAATGTTCACTTTAATAATTATATTTACATACGCTCTATATCTGGTATTGAGCACTTTATCTCATAAATACAGCACCCCTTAAAACTATATATATATATACAAAGAATAATCACACATAGAATTAATCAGAAGTATTAATGCGATTATTTTCTTCAAGGATCAAAACTCGCACTCTGGATGAACAGGATTTTAATGCATATATTATGTTTTCTAGCGATGGATGTCGCCAATAATCGCATTAATACTTCTGATTAATTCTATGTGTGATTATTCTTTGTATGTAAATCATATGCTGCCTAATGTTTTATGTTTATTAAAAACTATCGATCCGCAGTACATAAAAAATTCTTATAAAAAAAACTACTACTAAGACATTACACTATATTATTGAACTATATACTTAGTTCATGACATAAAAACTAATACACTTGTAAAATAGAATATGTGGATTTAACACATCAAAAGAAATATTTAAATAAAATTCTCACTTAAAAAACTTTGAAAATTTAGCGTTGCGTCTTTGCGCGTTCCACGATCTTACACACCCGTCAACAATAGCAGATATTCAAAAAACATCTTTCGGTTGACATACAGATATATTGTCTCAAGTTTTTGATTTTATAAGATAAACAACACATGCCTGATGATGGATGGAAGACCGTCCGTAAGTACTAGCATTTTAACATCAAATAAACTGAAAAACTACAGACAACAAGTTTTTCTTCAAGGATCAAAACTCGCACTCTGGATGAACAGGATTTTAATGCATATATTATGTTTTCTAGCGATGGATGTCGCCAATAATCGCATTAATACTTCTGATTAATTCTATGTGTGATTATTCTTTGTATGTAAATCATATGCTGCCTAATGTTTTATATATATATATATATATATATACATATATATATATATATATATATATATAAAACTGGGGCACCAGACCAAATATGACAGCAATATTCAATGCACGTAGAAATGGGAGATTTATAAACGTGCAATAAGGATTCTGGTAAGAAGGATTGTACGGCACGACACATTGAATGAAGCAATTATCCTAGCAGCAGATCTAACAAATAATTCAGTATCATCCTTCCACTTCACGTCGATAGAAAACATGATATCAATAAGGCACAATGCGTTGCTCTCCTGGAAATTAGCAATAGTCATGCTGACGAAAGTTAAAATTAGTTCTCTATCATGACTAAAACATAAAAGTTTCGTTTTGGAAACGTTAAAATGTACAAACGTTTTCTTGCCCCAGTTAACAATTGATTGGTTATCCAGTTTTACTATTTATAATTTATTTCCGTTAACTATCCATGTACAATATATAATCTAGTTACTATAGTTTTTGTACCTGGTGTGCTGTAGCGATTATCTATACCGGCCTGTGCATTCGAAAGTTTTAACAAAGAAAATGTTTTTTCCATCAGCGTTTGAATTTGACCCGCCATTGTAAGGGTAACCGCTATTAAGCCATGAATGCTTTTACCATTCAACCACGGGAAGCTTTCACGTTAAATCAAACTTCAATTACCCTATTTAAGAAATGCACATCTCTTGTTTTGATCTCTCCAACAACGAGGGCATACGTTCGGAACCTGCTGGAAGGCACATTTTCTTTTCTCTTGAATGCACAGACCGGTGTAAATAGATTTACACCGTTTAAAACAGAGATGTCTACTTATATATGTGTATCGACAAAATAACTATAGTATAATTCCGCTCACCCTTCCCTTAGTTACTTTATTGTGGAACCGGAACAATCTAGCCCGGTGGACGTAATAAATGTAAATAATGTAAATAATTACAATACCTAATCTCAGAAATATAGACATTTTTATCTTTTAAAGCGTCATTTTTTTTTACTCATATTTAAGTAGATGCTTAATAAATAATAAATAAACATATCCATTACTTCTTTAGAAATTGCTTTGTTTACGTTTCGAATACGAAAAACGAACAGATATGGACGCTGAAGAATCTGGGAGGGGAAGGGTTTCTTGATCGGCGATGCCCTACGTGACAAAGTCGGTTAAATGCTTGTCGGATATAACGACCGTTTTTCCTGTAAAAGAGGAACGCTCGTACGAATCCTGCCCGGGGGTGGGGGTGGGGGCGCATATATTTCTTTAATAAGATTTTCGAAAATTCAGGCTGTTAGACGAAAATAAATATAATGTTTAAAATAAATGGAGCATCTACTCAAATATGGGTATCCACTAAAAATAACATTTAAAGTGATAACACACACACACACACACACACACACACATACATACATATATATATATATATATATATATATATATATATATAACATTTTGTGCAAATAAATGAAAGAGAGACGTTGTTCGCGCTATTCGTATTTCCTTATCGAACTCTTATTTATCAATTAAAGAATATCGATGTGCCCGATGTTTCGTGATGTCTAGCCTATTATCTGCAAAGTGATCTAGGCAGCAGTCCACGCAAGAATGAAGCTGCTCAGGTCGTTGAGCAAGAAAGGCGACGACAATATTTTTGTTTTGTTTGCGTTTGTGTTGTTTTGCTTTTACGGGCTAGTTCCGGCCAAAACCCCGAGTATGTAACCTCGGAAGAGACTATCCGGTGTCAGGGCCTTGGTGTTGGACACTGGGTAGAAGTGGGGACCGGTGATCAGGTCCGAAACAATTAAAGCCGATATTGTTCCGTGATTTGGCAAGATCCGGCTCGATCTTCGATCAACATAAAGGCGTTATGCCGTCAAGCGTGCCGTCACGGACCGAGTCTTTTGTGCCAGACGGGAAAAAGACTTGTTGACTTTGTTAATGTCATAAGCGTACACCAACGTAAACCTTCTTCCGCATCAACTCCTGGCTGTTTTGTTATTTTTGTTTTGATTTGTACATATTTTACTTATTTTATTACTGTATTGTTGTCTTTGTACCGTGACTTGATGGACGCACTGGAGCACAAGGTGCACAAAGTGACGTCCTCTGGGTCATAATTCTCCCCGCTTTAGCGCGAGTATATTCTCATATGACACTTTTATTTTCCTTCTTCTCTTCGTGTATATTCATTTTTTTCATTCATTCTTTTTCTTTTTCTTTCCCTTGGTCATATTTTTTTTATTTATTTATTAATATCTGGTATTTTTTAAATTTTATTTTTCATTTTTCTGTTTTGTTTCATCATAATTTTCTTTCTTTTTCGTTCATTTTATTTTCTAGTTTCTTCTTTTCTTTTCTTTTTCGTATTTTCTTTCTTTCTTCCTTATCCCAGATTTCTTAATTTTCTTGTTTTTTGTTTCTTTTTTCATCACTTTATTCATTCTTTCTTTTTTCTAGTGGTTTTTGTTTCTTTCTTTTTTAATTTGCCTCCACAATATTACTTCTTTCTTTCTTTCTTTCTTTCTTTCTTTCTTTCTTTCTTTCTTTCTTTCTTTCTTTCTTTCTTTTCAGTGGTTCTTATATCTTGTTTTTTTTTTACTTTTGCCACCACAATATTCTTTTCTTTCTTTTTTCTTTCTTTCTTTCTTTCTTTCTTTCTTTTCAATGGTTCTTATATCTTGTTTTTTTTTTACTTTGCCACCATGTATTCTTTTTCTTTCTTTCTTTCTTTCTTTCTTTCTTTCTTTCTTTCTTTCTTTCTTTCTTTTCAATGGTTCTTATATCTTGTTTTTTTTTTACTTTGCCACCACAATATTCTTTCTTTCTTTCTTTCTTTTCTTTCTTTCTTTCTTTCTTTCTTTCTTTCTTTTTTCTTTCTTTTATATGGTTCTTATATTTGTTTTTTTTAACTTTTCCACCACAATATTCTTTTTCTTTCTTTCTTTCTTTCTTTCTTTCTTTCTTTCTTTCTTTCTTTTCAATGGTTCTTATATCTTGTTTTTTTAACTTTTCCACCACAATATTACTTCTTTCTTTCTTTCTTTCTTTCTTTCTTTCTTTCTTTCTTTCTTTCTTTCTTTCTTTCTTTCTTTTCAATGGTTCTTATATCTTGTTTTTTTAACTTTTCCACCACAATATTACTTCTTTCTTTCTTTCTTTCTTTCTTTCTTTTCTTTCTTTCTTTCTTTCTTTCTTTCTTTCTTTTCAATGGTTCTTATATCTTGTTTTTTTTAACTTTTCCACCACAATATTACTTCTTTCTTTCTTTCTTTCTTTCTTTCTTTCTTTCTTTCTTTCTTTCTTTCTTTCTTTTCAATGGTTCTTATATCTTGTTTTTTTAACTTTTCCACCACAATATTACTTCTTTCTTTCTTTCTTTCTTTCTTTCTTTCTTTCTTTCTTTTTCTTTCTTTTCAATGGTTCTTATATCTTGTTTTTTTTTTCCACCACAATATTATTCTTTCTTTCTTTCTTTCTTTCTTTCTTTCTTTCTTTCTTTCTTTCTTTCTTTTCAATGGTTCTTATATCTTGTTTTTTCTTTTTCCACCAATAATTTACTTTCTTTCTTTCTTTCTTTCTTTCTTTTTCTTTCTTTCTTTCTTTTTTCAATGGTTCTTATATCTTGTTTTTTTAACTTTTCCACCACAATATTACTTCTTTTTTCTTTCTTTCTTTCTTTCTTTCTTTCTTTCTTTCTTTCTTTTTTCTTTCTTTCTTTTCAATGGTTCTTATATCTTGTTTTTTTAACTTTTCCACCACAATATTACTTCTTTCTTTTCTTTCTTTCTTTCTTTCTTTCTTTCTTTCTTTCTTTCTTTCTTTCTTTCTTTCTTTTCAATGGTTCTTATATCTTGTTTTTTTAACTTTTCCACCACAATATTACTTCTTTCTTTCTTTCTTTCTTTCTTTCTTTCTTTCTTTCTTTCTTTCTTTCTTTTCAATGGTTCTTATATCTTGTTTTTTTAACTTTTCCACCACAATATTACTTCTTTCTTTCTTTCTTTCTTTCTTTCTTTCTTTTCTTTCTTTTCTTTCTTTTCTTTTCAATGGTTCTTATATCTTGTTTTTTAACTTTTCCACCAATAATACTTCTTTCTTTCTTTCTTTCTTTCTTTCTTTCTTTCTTTCTTTCTTTCTTTCTTTCTTTTTTTCAATGGTTCTTATATCTTGTTTTTTTAACTTTTCCACCACAATATTACTTCTTTCTTTCTTTCTTTCTTTCTTTCTTTCTTTCTTTTTCTTTCTTTCTTTCTTTTCTTTTTTCTTTCTTTCTTTTCAATATTCTTATATTTTTTTTTTAACTTTTCCACCACAATATTACTTCTTTCTTTCTTTTTCTTTCTTTCTTTCTTTCTTTCTTTCTTTCTTTCTTTCTTTTCATGGTTCTTATATCTTGTTTTTTTAACTTTTCCACCAATAATATTCTTTCTTTCTTTCTTTCTTTCTTTCTTTCTTTCTTTCTTTCTTTCTTTCTTTCTTTCTTTTTTTCAATGGTTCTTATATCTTGTTTTTTTAACTTTTCCACCACAATATTACTTCTTTTCTTTTCTTTCTTTCTTTCTTTCTTTCTTTCTTTCTTTCTTTTCAATGGTTCTTATATCTTGTTTTTTAACTTTTCCACCACAATATTACTTCTTTCTTTCTTTCTTTCTTTCTTTCTTTCTTTCTTTCTTTCTTTCTTTCTTTTCAATGGTTCTTATATCTTGTTTTTTTTAACTTTTCCACCACAATATTACTTCTTTCTTTCTTTCTTTCTTTCTTTCTTTCTTTTTTCTTTCTTTCTTTCTTTCTTTCTTTCTTTTCAATGGTTCTTATATCTTGTTTTTTTAACTTTTCCAATATTATTTCTTTTCTTTCAATTCTTTTCTTTCTTTCTTTCTTTCTTTCTTTCTTTCTTTTCAGTGGTTCTTATATCTTTTTTTTTAACTTTCCACCACAATATTCTTTCTTTCTTTCTTTCTTTCTTTCTTTCTTTCTTTCTTTCTTTCTTTTCAATGGTTCTTATATCTTGTTTTTTTAACTTTTCCACCACAATATTACTTCTTTCTTTCTTTCTTTCTTTCTTTCTTTTCTTTCTTTCTTTCTTTCTTTTTTTTTCAGTGGTTCTTATATCTTGTTTTTTTTTAACTTTTCCACCACAATATTCTTTCTTTTTCTTTCTTTCTTTCTTTCTTTCTTTCTTTCTTTCTTTCTTTCTTTCTTTTTTCAATGGTTCTTATATCTTGTTTTTTTAACTTTTCCACCACAATATTACTTCTTTCTTTCTTTCTTTCTTTCTTTCTTTCTTTCTTTCTTTCTTTCTTTTCAGTGGTTCTTATATCTTGTTTTTTTTACTTTGCCACCACAATATTCTTTCTTTCTTTCTTTCTTTCTTTCTTTCTTTCTTTCTTTCTTTCTTTCTTTCTTTTCAATGGTTCTTATATCTTGTTTTTTTAACTTTTCCACCACAATATTACTTCTTTCTTTCTTTCTTTCTTTCTTTCTTTCTTTCTTTCTTTCTTTCTTTCTTTTCAGTGGTTCTTATATCTTGTTTTTTTTTTTTTTTTTCCACCACAATATTACTTCTTTCTTTCTTTCTTTCTTTCTTTCTTTCTTTCTTTCTTTCTTTCTTTCTTTCTTTCTTTTCAATTTCTTATATCTTGTTTTTTTAACTTTTCCAATGGTTCTTTCTTTCTTTCTTTTTTTTTCTTTCTTTCTTTCTTTCTTTCTTTCTTTTCAATGGTTCTTATATCTTGTTTTTTTAACTTTTCCACCACAATTTCTTTCTTTCTTTCTTTTTTCTTTCTTTCTTTCTTTCTTTCTTTCTTTCTTTTCAATGGTTCTTATATCTTGTTTTTTTTACTTTGCCACCAATAATTTACTTCTTTCTTTCTTTCTTTCTTTCTTTCTTTCTTTTCTTTCTTTCTTTTCAGTGGTTCTAATATCTTGTTTTTTTACTTTGCCACCACAATATTACTTCTTTCTTTCTTTCTTTCTTTCTTTCTTTCTTTCTTTCTTTCTTTTCAGTGGTTCTTATATCTTGTTTTTTTACTTTGCCACCACAATATTACTTCTTTCTTTCTTTCTTTCTTTCTTTCTTTCTTTCTTTCTTTCTTTTCAATGGTTCTTATATCTTGTTTTTTTTTTACTTTGCCACCACAATATTACTTCTTTCTTTCTTTCTTTCTTTCTTTCTTTCTTTCTTTCTTTTTTTCAATGGTTCTTATATCTTGTTTTTTTACTTTTGCCACCACAATATTATTCTTTCTTTTTTTCTTTCTTTCTTTCTTTCTTTCTTTCTTTCTTTTTCAATGGTTCTTATATCTTGTTTTTTTTTTTCTTTCTTTTACTTTCTTTCTTTCTTTCTTTCTTTCTTTCTTTCTTTCTTTCTTTCTTTCTTTCTTTTACATGATTTTTGTTTCTTGTTTTTCTTTTCTTTTCTATCACAATGTTCAATTTTTGTGACTTAGGAGGGAGGTGCTGAAAGGTTCTCAGTCCGACCCATTTCCCCAAAACAATATTTCAATGACCAAACAACAGTGCACTGATTTTAGGAAGTGTTCCGGCCGAGATCTTTTCGGCATCTCCTAGTATCGCGGAAAAGCTTTAAATGTATAATAATTGCCATCTTGTAAATTGTTATTTCTCAGCTCGTTTTCCACAGATGAAATATTCGCACCATTAGTGTAATTTCCATTCCTGATTGTCATATTTTCTTTCGAGACGATTCTCCAAAATTACAGAAATTATGTTCTCGGTGACCTAATGTTTAAAAATTATCTTTTCTCTAATATGCAAATATTTTTTGTCACTGTACGATTTTTTATAACATATAATGTAACTTCTTGTGTCAAATTCCTGCATTCTTTCATTGCTTGAAATCATGGCAAGAAATTCGAAAGAAACCAGGATCGAGATAGTGAAGATGGCCAAGAATATGAGCCAGTGAGGAATTAGTAAGCAACTTGGACTTTCAAGAGGCGGCGTTTCAAAAATTCTCTCGAAGTTTCAAGGAACTAGAAGTCTTTCGGATTGGTCAAGATGAGGCAGTTTTCGAAATCGGTAAATGTGGCAACTGTTCTCGAAAAGAACCTTTAATCAGTGATTAACTGGGGCAAGAAATAGCTTGCAAATTTTAACGCTTCCAAAACAAAACTGCTTTCATTTAATTCCCACGGAGAACCTTTTCTCTCTGACATCACCAACTCCAGGAGATCAACACACTACGCCTTCTTGGACTTGAGTTTTCCACTGACATAAAGTGAAGGGACTATATAGAATCAATTGCTGCATCTACTGCAAGGAAAGTTGGTTCAGAAAAATTTTCTCGTCAGAATCCATCTTGCGCATTTATAAATGTCATGGGTCCTTACCTATAACTACAGAATGAACTCTTTCTAACACTATGCATACTACGCCTCTCAAGAGAGAGGAACGAATCGAGTCGAACCGATAGTAGTTCACTCCAAACCAGACTGACAGTCATACTAACACCTTCCTTCGTTATTTCTACTCTTGTGTTCCTGTTGTTCTTCCTTGGTCCTAACCTGGACCATAACAATAAATCTGCTATTCGCCCGTACATTGAATACTGTTGCCATATCTGATAAGGTGGCCCTGCTGTACATCTGGAAATTCTTGACAAAATCCAAAGAAGGGTCTGTAATGTTATCCACACTGACTTGGCATCTCGACTTCAGTCACTTTCTCACCGACGAGAGGTGGTTTCTCTGTCTTTTCTACAAATATTTTCATGGCAACTGCTCTGCTGACCATTCTTTTCTGGTGCCCCGACTACAAGTTTTTAAGTGTTTTACTAGATTGGAAACTAGGCCCCACCCATTGACAGTGTCTTTTCTCACCCGTGGAAAACCCTTCTGATTTCTTGCTTCCCTGATAACTACAATATACAAAATTTAAATGCAACGTCAATTTTTTTTGTCTCGAAACATGTTCCTTTTTGTCCTTTCCTCAATCCTTCCCACTCCCAGTCTTCTTATTCCTGTTCACGTTCACTCCATGTAACCAGCTGCGTTCTAGTGGAATTGTCACCATGCTTGGGTGAAGTTATTAAAATTACATTTTATTTGATTGTCTTGTTACAATTATTTTCAATGACTTGTTGCCACTTATCAGGTAACTTTTTGATATCTTTTGAATAACGAACTTTTGAATCTGGTACTCATTAGAGAAATTTTATCACATCAAAACCTTATGTCGCATTCGAAAAAGGTAATAATACTTTGGTAATAATCGTTTGTTATTCTTGCTTCATGCGTCCTTACATTGTGACGGAAGAGAATAACATTTTTCTTATTGATGATATCAAGACGATTTTCGACCAAACGTTTATGAACACGATGCAGCTGCTGGATGTATAAATGTGCATTTAACGTTTCAATGAATTTTAATAATTCAAAATGAATAATAATCCACCTATCTGACCACATGCACAACATTACCTTTCTTGTATGGAGCTCAACTTTTGTGGTTGGTTGTAGAGATTTACGCTTGTTAATACACTGTGTTTGCGTTGAACATCTTCGTATGCTAGTGTATTCAAAATTTATTTTTAACAGTCATTTATGATTAGTAGTTTGGATGATACATTTGTTGTTAAAAGTTGTTCCCAAAATCAGAATTCTTTCAGAAGGTCTGCAAGAAAGAAGCCAGTATTTATCGAAAGGTCTACATGAAAGCGGAACGACCTACATTATACGACGAAAAAATGTGAAGTTTAGGGTTAGAGGTGCACGTCTGATGCTTTAGGAATATATAAAGATTGACTTTTCAGAAAATTGGCTAAAATTGATGGTAGCATGCATAGTGCCAAATCCATTCATTTGCTGAAAACCCATTTGATACCAGAGTTGGATACTGGTGAGAGCTTTTAACAATATGGAGGATTGATAATTTAAATAGCAATATAAAATTTGTCACTAATTCAAAAACAATAAAAGATCTAATCAACGCAAAATAGCTACATTAAATCTGAAGGAAGAATTTACCAAATAGACTGCAAAAATAATCTCAAGAAATACAAAGTGAGAATTTAAAGAATATTATATAGACATAAAGGATTCTTTTTTCGCGCATTGAGGCAATGCGCGAGTCTTTCCTCGCAATGGGCCTGATCGTAACTTCGACTGCAGTTAAGAGATTAACTTAATTAAAAGATAAGGTATATTTATTAAGGCGAAAATTTATTAAACGTGAACTGAAATCGGAAGCCCTTGATGGTAAATTTACATCTAGGATCACACAACATCTCCTTTCTTACAAAACTATTTCTGATAAAACACGGGATAACAAAAGACAATAGAGTGGAAATAAAAACAAACAAACAAAAAAAAACAGGCATAAACTGATTCTACCAATAAAATACTTATTAGTCTGAAGAAGTTCCTTCTCTGAACGAAGCCAATCAGTAAGAATTTTTTACATCTTATCATTCATTACCTTACTCAGAATTTAACACACACACACAAACACACACATATATGTGTATTCAGGCAGCAAATTATCTTTTACTCATGGCTGATTGAATAAATTACAAACATTATGTTTGCTTATTTTTATCATAATCCTTTCATATTCACGAATATTTTTGTAAAAAAACTTGTGAATATGAAACGATTAAGATAAAAATAAGCGAACATAATGTTTGTATTATATATATATATATATATATATATATATATATATATATATATATATGATAAAATTTAGTTTTAACGTATGCTATATTATGGGTTAAAGTTTTCTATCAGGATGTAAATATAAAAGTGGACATTGAAGCCAACACTTGGAGGCGACAGTTTGTTTCATGCTAAACGCCATTGTCAGACCATTATATATATATATATATATATATATATATATATATATATATATATATATATATAAGATGTATGCTTTGCATTTGCTCTGATAGCACAAACAGAATTGTTACATTTAGATAAGTTTCTTGAGTTAAAAGTAATAAGACATTGACTGTTGTCGGGAAAATCATATTTTTAATTGCCAATCAATGCTGCTTACTAACGGTCGTAGTATGGTGGTGTGGCCTAATGTGATAAAAAATGTTGAAAATAAGATCAAATAAATCGCCATTAAAAATCAATAACGAATGTTTTAAAAAATCAAATTTCCAGTCTGCATGTTGCCCAGCGAAAATTTAGGAAATAATGTGTTGTTTGTGGTCAAGAATGCGGACAGAATAGAACTAAAATATATAAATATACTATAAACACACGCAAACACCCAAATTCGCACGCGCGCGCGCACACACACACACACATTATTAAAGCTTCAATGTATTTACTACAACATCCCATGAAACGTTAATGATGAATCTTATTTCTTAAGTTACTGATTGAATGAGTTAACAGCGAGTTCTATGACAATAAAGTGAATGTTAATAGAATAATCACATGAAGGTTGGTAGTGAACGATAATACTTAGGACAAGAACAACACATATAAGATTCGCCAGCGGTACGTAGAAGAAGTAGTCAACTGCTATAAGTGAGTCAAGTGAATTCCATAATGAATCTCCAACTGTAGGATATCTACCAACCGCCCCACGCGGTCAGATATGGCACGAGGCCGAATTTAATGTGGGATATCCGAGCCCGTAGGCACGACGAAAAATTCTCCGTGGACCCGTATAAAACGGGGTCGGGTAGCTGTTTCCCAGGATGAGACTCTGCCCTTCGACATAGCCTCGTCTGGGGATCCTCTCTGCCCGGAAGCAGAAAGTTCGACCAGGACAGCTGAAGACGAATATCCAACTTGCAGACAAACATACAGTATTTACTACTGTATTTATGTGAATGAGGACATACCCATTATCGTCCGTAGGTATGCTACAACAAAAATATACGTAGAAATTCCAGTACCGCATCGTTAAATATTTGAGCTTAACAACTTTAATAAAATATTGCAATAACTATCATAAATATGATTTGATATGCGTTTTAGGAATAGTCCATTATTTGTGAGGTATTGGCAGGGTGTTACAGAAGTGCGATCTCACGAAGAGAGGGACAAGCACAATTATAATAGGATATTTTTATCCGACATTTTGATTGCTTCAGACATTATTTTAGTGGATACCCGTGTTTGAATAGACGCCACGATTTTAAACATTGTGTATTACGTCTACCGAGACATTTTTTATCATGTTTTCTCGAGTATTCGGGCCGGTAGACGTAATACACAGTGTTTAAAATGAAAACGGGGCGACTATTTGAAACACGGGTATTCACTAAAAATATCGTTTGAAGCAATAATATATATATATATATATATATATATATATATATATATATTTATGTTGTTGCTTGGAAATCTTTCATGCATCAAAAACAGACTATCATTATTGTTTTGTCCGTGTATTGTTTAATATATTGAAATGTAATTATCATCTTTGATAATGGCTTATGTAAGCCGAAAACTTAGATAGGATCAAAAAGCATGTATCAATATGGCGATTATCTTTCATCTTTCAATGATAATGTTATTAAGCTTATGACAATATGAAAGAAATTTACTTAAAATAGACAAAACTTGTCTATATTATTTAATCAAACATGCATCAATGAAAAAATGCTGCCTAAACACACACACACAATATATATATATATATATATATATATATATATATATTTTGGTTGGATAGATGTGAGTTTGTGACCCTGTGTTTCACGCTTTAGCGATCGTCAAACTGATTAATGTTTGAAAAAATTTGGGTTTATGTAGATTGCGTGTATTGGTGTTATTGTGGAAGTGGTGGGGGAAATTTCGTCGTTTTGTCATTCATCGTACTAACGCAAACATCGATGTATGCAGACACATATACATGATGAAATCCAGGGTCACAAACTCACATCTATCCAACCAAATATGTTAGCTCTATCTCTGATATTGAGCGCTTTCTAATAATTACCGCGCTTATAATATATAAATAATTATACATATATATATTTGTTTATATTTATATACACTTTTCACACACACACACACACACACACACACATATATATATATATATATATATATATATATATATAAGAAGTGGGGGATGGACATGTAGAAAGTAATTTATCAGAGAGCTAAAGAGATTTGGGTGTCGAATTGGAATTTCCTCAAAGCGAAATCCTCTGGCTTGATTTGTTTGGTATTCGTAAATGGAATTCACGGAAAAATCCCTGTCAATGGAGGCTTTGAAAGAGCTACCCATAACCGATGCTCGTTCGGGTGTCATGTTTTAAGGCCTACTCCATAGATCGCGATGTCATTAGCAGTGAAGTGGTAGTGGGAACAAGCACAAAGGTAGAGGGCAGCACTAGTGAGGCCACGTCTATTGTCGTCATATTTTGTGAAAAGACTTGTCATAAAGATGGGTGCCATTGTGAATGGTTGCGAGGTTCTAGTTGGGAAGGTGAAATATTTTCGTTTTTGTATAAAGAGATTGTTCTAGGTAGCGTTGTGAGCCGAGTAACAGATAGAAAAACTGAAAAGAAAATTGGGAAGAAAGAGGACGAAAAAAGAATTGATGGAAGTGAATAAAAGTAACAAAGAAAGAGAGACAAGTGAAAAAAAAAAGATGAACCTGGTAAAGAAAATAAAGAAAACCATAAAAAAAGAGGAAGAAAAAGAATAAAAAGGATGATATCGAGAAAGTTGCGAAGACAATAGAGAAAAAAACGTTCGTGCTTGTGTATAAGACGATCTCTAAAAATGTTTATTTAAGATGATAGCTCAGTTTTAGATTCCCCGGATAAAAGCGAGACTAGATATAAATCATCTGTCTCTTACTTACACATCGTCTAAATAGACTATTGTGACCAAGATTTGCGCTTAAAATGTCGTCTTTCATGTTATCATCGAAGTAGTATACTGCAGATATAAAATATAGAGAAATATCAATAGAAAGGGAGAAAAAGGAAACGAAACGAAAGTCTTTAGAAAGAAAGAAAGAATGTAATGAAAGAAAGAAAAAAAAATCTTTGTGGGGAAAAAGAAAAAAAGATATAGAGAGCCACAAAAGAAAGACGGGGACGAAAAGGAAAGAAAGAAAGAAAGAAAGAAAGAAAGAAAGAAAGAAAGAAAGAAAGAAAAGTCAAAATTTTTGTAGTGTAAAAGAAAAAGAGATATAATGAGAACAAAAAGAAAGACAGAGCCGGAATAAGAATAAAAGAAAAAGAGAAAGGAGGAAGCAAATAAAGAAATAATGAACGAATGAAAGAAAAAATGAATGAAAAAAAGGAATGAAAGAAAGAATAAAAGAAAGAAAGAAAGAATGAATAAATGAATGAAAATGTAGGAATGAAAGAAAGAGTAAACGAAAAAGGAAAGAGTGGATGAATAAAAGAAGGAATGAAAGAAAGAAGGAAAGAATAAATGAAAGAAAGACTTAATGAATGAATGAAAGATGGAATGAATGAAAGAAAGATGGCGGAATGAAAAAGAATAAATGAAAGAATTAAATAATAAATGAAAGAAAGATTGCATGAATGAATATAGAGAATAATAAATAAAAGAAAGAAGGAATGAATGAATGAAAGAAAGACTAAATGAATGAACGAAAGAAAGAAAGAAGGAATGAAAGAAAGATACAGTTCAGAGCGAGTATAATTGAGACTGGATGGAGTTAGGAGTAGCTGCAATGACAAGCATATACCAATAATCTGAGAGAAATTCGAGCAAAAAATAAATAATGCTAAACAATCCTTTATCTAATAAATATGAAATGCTACTAATATTTTTTCTTATTTTGTGTACTATGTTCCTTCAGGATGTGGATCAACACGGCTATCCACAACTTGTCTTTTGCTGCACTAAGTAACCTTTGACCTATTGCAATCCTTGATTGTCCCTATTTTGAAACAAACTCGTAAAGTGGTTTACTTTCTGTTTCCCTTTACTTCTCTTGCCTTCACTGTGTCATGTGAGTGTTAAATTCTCTAGACCCTCTTTCTTCATGTTTCCTTCCGTTTCTAATTATCACTTGTGGTTCTTATTTTCCTTAAAACTTCCTCGTTGCTCACATATTCTATCCATATCATTCTCTGCATTCATAGGTAGAGTCACATCTCTCCCGTATAAAGTCTCGTCTTCATCTGTGTGGAGATTGTCCAGAATTCACTGTCAGAGGAAATTAGATATTAACATAAAAGTTCGGTAATTTTTCTTTGTTTTTAAGAGCATTTTCACACACACACACGCACACACGCGCGCACACACACACACACACACACACACACACACACACACACATATATATGTTTAATTAGTAAATTTATTATCTATCTATCTATCTATCTCTCTTTCTCTATATATATATAACTCAATTTAATTTAAATAATTATATTGTAGTTTTCGGCTCTTGAAACATGAGACTTCTTATGTAGCGTTTTGGAATCATATTTTTAAATAAATAATTATATATATATATATATATATATATATATATATATATATATATATATTTTTTCATTTTTGTTTGGAAGTAAAGTCTGATGATCCGCAGTCTTTTTAAAAGGGATGTGGTGAAATAATTTATTACATGGAACCTTAAAGTGGTCTGTTTTTTTTAATATATATATATATATATATATATATATATATATATATATATATATATATATACCTTTTTAAATTTACTAATTTAAAAATATGGTCACATCGCTACACAGGAATTACCATGTTTCAAAAACAGAAACTAAAACTTTAAATTTAATTATAGAATTAAATTGATATCCTTAGTACTGTTTCAATTTCAAGCGATTTTTGAAGTTATTCCAAAAATCACATTGTGATGTACTCAAATAGAAGAGGGTACATATTCTTAAGCTAAAAATGTTCCAATGAGTTTTAAAATCTAGCATAGATTTGATGTATGTAGATATACTATTGGTTCTCACTTACGAATAAAATTTGAGCTCGCGAGAAAGAATATATTTCTTAGATCATATTGTTTCATTTTATGAAAGATAACTAAATCCTTAGAGGGTGGTCACAATATCTACAAAGGAAGCATGTATTATCCTTATGGTCCGCTGCTTAACCGAAGTTAATGTCCATGTTTTATGTGCTTTTGAATAGAAAGTTATACTTTATTTTACATTCTTTTTGTTCAGCATCATCAACAGCAAATAATTTAGTCGCCTCGCTTTCTTTGCCAATAGGAAAACTGTTCTCAAAGTCGGTCATAAACAATGAGATCAAAGGTGATCAATAGAATCTTTATTTGTTGATATAGGTACAAGTTTTTCGTCCGACATCAACACTCCTATATTCGTTCAATCTGACTGAAAATTGGTCAAAACGTTTTTCTTTACGTTTGCTATTTAGCAAGGTTTTCCTGGCTTCAACTAAATGAATACTTTAGGTCAGGTATGAGTAACCCCCTTTTTTTTGAGCAGTGGGCCGCATGATCCATGGCTTCATCACAAGGCGGGCTGCACTACTAAAGAGCTTTAAGGTAATTTTTTGTAGTAGGTACCTCAGCTACCATCACTACAGAAGACCGTATGCGTAAGCATATACTTTAGAAATGGAGGAAACGTTGATTTTTTTTCTTTGGAGAAAAAAAACCTTTTCTATAATTAAAAAAAATGAAGTCTTGGTATAACATTACCACTGATGACGTTGTGATCAACACATATCGTTCTGTCAAATTTATTTCTAAATTATTCTTTTGAAAATAAAAAAAAGATATATTTCTTCTTTAGAAAAAATGTTTCCTGTTTCAAAAGCAAAAGATGTTTACACGTGTGATCTTCGTTAGGGAAAATTGCCAGTGATTTAAAACGATGAAATCATCATTTCACCGGAAGTTCACAAAATTCAAGAAATATTGTACTTAATCATTGTTCATGTATGAGAGAGCGTGTGAGTGAACAAGTGAGAAAGAAAAAAAAAATTATTAAGAAACGTTATTTTCCATATTTTCATAAACGTGCCATTCTGAAAGCACAAACCGGCCGCAATTGCTGCTTTAGGATTCGAAAAGGACAATCCATTAGTAGACTCTATAAACTGGTGCTTCTTAATCACTAAACAAAGGAGCTCCAACTCTAGGATATCTATCAACCGCCCCACGCGGTCAGATGTGGCACATGGACGAATTTAATGTGGGGTATACAAGCCCGTAGCTCGGTCAAAAATTCCCCGTAGACCCAGTCTAAAACGGGGTCGGGTAGCTGTTTCTCGAGACGACACTCTGCCTCAAATAACAAAAACCACATCACTTGAAGACTTCCAGGAGCAACATCATCTATAATAACAACAGCAGCAAAATGGTTCGCACATGTAATTTGAAGGGATGATAACGATAATTTTTAACACTGGTTCACCTTTTAGAAGGCCCGAGGGCCACTCGTGGTAGAGGTTTGCACAGTAAGATGAAAAGCTTATGCGGATATATATCAGGAAGATAACGGTTACTCTAGAGTTGAACAGGTTAAGATTTTAGTGATCGGCAAAGCAACTTCCTAGAAGTCAGTTTCAAAAGGCAGTGGTTCGTGGGAAGAAACTGCTTGAGTGGACATTCTATTTCCCCAGAGGAATTCGAAGGGAATGAGGGTAGTTCGCTTCAGTGGGCGTGGCAAGGCGGGTCTTAGCCGTGAAGCTTAAAATTGGTCGAATTAATGAGTGTAGTCCATCTGAACACTCTCCATGGAAATAGCAATAGAAAATAGAGGCTTACGGTCAAATCACGCTGAAAACACCGGTTCTCGTTCGATCACCGAAGTTAATCATCGTAGAGCCAGGTCAGTACTTAGATGGGGGACCGCTTGGAAACACCTGGTACTGTAAGCCCCCAAAAGTCCAACCCTTACCTCACAGTCGGTGGTGGGGTGTAAACGGTAGTGTCAGAGCTATGCCGTCCGGAACTTCGTTCCTGGTAGGGCCACCCAAGGCGGACAGGTCTGACACACACGCCGGCTAACAAGGGCTCTGGTGAAAATCCAAGGAGCGTCTGCATCGGTAACCGGCGGCTTCTGGTCGTTCCTGTCTCTGCGTCTGTGGGAATCCCGCGGCAAGCAAGAACGTTATCCGAGTAGGCCTGGGTACCCTACTTCTCTAATTTATCCCAAGAATCTTCTTCTCATAACAGGAAGAAGCCGGCTCAATCCGCCCAGGGTGAATGCCGCATCACACACACACACACACACACACACACACACACACAAATAGCAATAGAGCAGCGAATGGCTTGTGACATTTCTTCCGTGGAGTGGAAAATAATTCGTCACCTACAAGGCTTTGGACTATATAGGAGAAGTGATATCACATAGTGGCCCGATCCTCTTTGTTTCTAACGAAAATTTCCTGTTTCTTTATACTTTGTTTAAGTCCTGGAAGACGCCATTTGCTATTTTCATGCAACTTCGGATTTCGGTGTCACATTTTCCGTGATCTGTTAAAAGGCATTCCCAAATATATAAACTTTTTTACTTGTTTGGTTTCGTAGCTCTTACCGCCCAAAATTATGGGATTAAATAACTACGTCATTTCTGGTATTAAATGCACAGGATACTTTTAGTGTCTAATAGAGCGGGTAGGGTAGTTTATTTTGTTTATTGTTTTTTTTTTATAAAATTTTCTGGAATCGCCTATGGGCCTTTTATGACCACTCATTTCTTTATTTCGCACTTTTTGACCCTTTAAATGACTTCACGAACCCTTTTTTTATTTATTAAGGCCACAGTTTATTGCATGTTCAGAAAAATTCCAACCCCCATAATTATTGATACCCCTGTGCTTGTATTAGCCATCTGATAGTAGACATTACTTCGTTTAAAAAAGTCTAAGTGTAAGGGATGATATCCTTGTTCGCACAAATAACTAAATAAACGACCTTGTTGACATTTGTTTCTTAGAGCATGCGGACCAGAAGTAACTATAATTCAATGTTCTGTGCCTTTATATATATATATATAAATAAATGTCATATTGAAATAGATCACCGTTATTTTTTCAAAGAAATCTACCATTGTATTCACACCTTTTATTTTCACAGAAATATTATCTGCAAATACGCAATAAAAAAAAAACCTTTGATCTTATAATGTGTTTCCCTGTATAAAGGTTCCAATCATCCTTTTCTTGCGAACGGATATTAAGTTCAGTGATTTTTAAAGACGAATATCCCCAACTTTAGTCTTTATATTGTTTCCCTCGGAAACTCCCACTTAACCTTTTTTTCTTATGAAGGACTATTTTTTTAATATGTTGCGGGTATGAAAGTTATTCATTTTATGCCTTCTGGTACATTTGTCCCACAAACAATATCTGGCGGACATATCAGCCCGGGTAAAAATAAGTCGCAAAATCTGGTGTTCAAACCAAAAAAAAAAAAAAAGAATAAAAAAATAAAAAAATAAATAAATGTATTAACCAGACATGTTACAGAAGTGGGGAAATAAGAAACGAAGTTATGAAGAATTCAAAGCAACCTTCAGTATTTGATGCTGAAGTGCTTACATGCCTTGTGTCGATTGGAGCGAGAATAAACGTGTCTTGTCGTTTCGCGAGTCAAAATGAAAAGAGAAAGAGACTTTCAAATCTTGCGCTGCCTGTGATAATCGTCAGGGGGCGGTAATCTAACAACGATTACGGCCTTTTGGCAATCAGTTTTTGCCAACGATTGACATGGATTTCTTCAGAATGAAATCAGTTTAATGAATCTGACATTATACTAGATTCCATGAAATTTGTTAATTCTTGTCACATATGATCAGTATTTGCTAAGTTCCTCTTATAATGACACGGTTTGCGATTGCTAATCTATTATTTCTTTCTGCACGGTTTGCATCAGTTTTCTTAATTTCTCTTGTTAATAAATTCTATATCAACTGTTTAGACATGGTCATTAATATTGAGTTCTGACTTCCTTCCTCGCCTTTTTTTAACATATCGGCGGTTCGTGTAAAGTAGGAGTCGTCAAACGTTTTGTACCAGCGACCCCTATTTAAAATATCTTTGAACCTTAAAACTCGCAATGATGTTGACAATTAAAATCTTAACTAAAATGTATGAAAATTTAAAAAATTTGGATCAGATTCAGAATTTTCTTTAAAAGTTATATTTAAGAAAATATATTAAATAACCCCAATGAATCAAGCAAATAATATATTAAGTACACCAAGCCTAACTACAGCTGATGCTACTGAACAAAAATGCATGACCGCTACTAATATCCAACTGTACTCACTAATTAAATTAAATAAACTAATATTGCTATCATACCAATCAGGCCAAATGACCTTCATAATCATAAACTCTATTTTACAGTTAGAGGTTGAAAAAAGGGGATTGTTATCTGAAAATCAACTTGAAACATTAAAAAAAATATGTGATGTGGTGTGACGTCACCCCGTGCCTGTCTGCCCCGTCGCCGTCCTATCCTGTGACGACCAATGTGACTTGGTATTGGTCGCGGCATCAAATGTGACGTTCTAACCCTTTGCTGATTCGGATAGGAATCTGGTTAGATTCGGTATAAGCCTTGTCGTTCCCAGCTCGGCTCCAACGTCTTGTTACCGAAGTAACTGCTTTGATTTCTCGTCTAACCTACTCACGTTGTGATTTGATCTTAGGTAGACGAAATCAATCAGTCGCCGGGCCGCAATGCAAGTCGAGTCCGAACAAAGGTAATACCGCACAAGTATATGTAAAAGAAAATAAAGTAACAACTCGAAAAGTTCAAATGTGTTAAAAAGAGAATAACAAATATTTTTATATCTGGTTGCTGAATACAGGACTGCTAAATAGTGTCACAGTGGCATTAAATAAGTCTCATCAAAATAAATTAAAAGTTACCTGGATAGATGAAACTAAGGCTTTTGATTCTGTTGATTGTTGAGTTCAGTGCCTTTCTTTCGTTTGCACCGAAGAATACAACATACTAAAATTTAGCTCAGTGTACACCGATCCTCATTCGATCCCTTGACTATCATCGACCCACTGAAAATCTTCGCCGACCCCTAGGAGTCGCTTCGACCCAGTTTGACATATGTAGAACCTTGCACGCATTCACAAGCTTCTTGGACTTTCGACTCATCTAGCTTAGGAAGAGTTCTCCATATTTTGATTTTTTTGGTAAAATTTCTACTGCTGAGGTGGTTCCGTTGATCCATTTAACGTCTAAAGACCCTTCTTTCTGCTTATTTTAGTTTATCTGACTGTACTGTAAACGATGACAACTAGCGTCAATTTCATATTCGACAATGTTGTCAGTTCTCTGTCATTTTTTGTTTATCGGATATTTGGCGTTTCGTAATTGTCGCAGGTTCTTGTTATCGATTTTATTCCTTCCTTATTGGTGTGTAATATGCATGCTTTATATTTCTTTCTTTTTTTTTTACAAAGCCTAGATTTTTTTTCCCGGTTTTTCAGCTTCAAATTCATTGTGTGAATACTTGGAGTAGTACTATCCACTGTCTTTCTGATTGCAATAAATCCGCTTCTGGAGAAAACTGGGCAAAACATTTGAATCTGAAAGTTGCATAGAATATTGTTTTCTGCCAAACAACTTCTTGCTTGGTGATTATGGACGAAACACAATTCTATGGGTTCAACGTTCTTACCCATTTATACACAGAATTAATTTGCCGCATACATATAATCATGCTGCCTTCTCCACATACTCAGCATTTACTATTCCGTGGTATTTTTTATCTTTGCTTTAATATTGTTTGATCAAATGAATCTGAGCTGCAGTATATAGGCCTGTTGTTTTTCTTTTTAAGTGTCCTCTGTGCAAACATATGCACGCTATTTCGCCTGCAGTTGCCTATCCGTGTTTCTCTTTATCTTAAAAATAAGTTGCTTTTCTGCTTTTTGGCTTTTGTTTTTTTTATTGAATATTTGACATTTTATAAGGTTTGCTTTCTGGGTCTCGTCCTTATTAGAGTCTAGCCTACATGTTTTATTTTATTTCATTTTTGTTCGTTAAGGCAACGTAGCTTTAAATGCAGATGTATCTTATTTCGCCCACTTATTTACACGTCATATCTCCCAACGTCATAAGTGTTTTCTTCTTCTTCTTCTTCTTCTTCTTCTTCTTCTTCTTCTTCTTCTTCTTCTTCTTCTTCTTCTACGTATTTGCAGAACTATGGCGTATCACTGGTGGCTATCGTTGAAGACTGAATGACAATAAATCTCCTTAAATAGTGATGATCTTTTTTCTGTATCCACTTAGAGTTCAAAAGCGTTTACGAAACGTTGCTCGCCTCTCGCTACACAATCTTTCTCATTCTCTTCGTATCCCAATGTTAAGGAGGAAGTTACACAAAGACAGATTCTTCCCCAGAACTGATATTTTGTGGGACAAACTTCCAAAAGGATGCTTCCCCGGTCACTGCAGTCTTAACTTCTTCAAGTCTTGGATAATACCGTTATCTATTTTACATATCGCCATAATATGCACTACTTACTCCCTCCTCTTACACCCTTGCAAAAATCTCATTCAATATCCCTCTACCTTGAGTGGCTCTTGGATTATGTAAACAATAGCGCAAAAACGTAAAAAAATATAGCTTTGCTGCTATTTCTCCATATATTCAATCATTTTTTCCATTCCAGATCAAGTGACAACAAGTTTCTTTAATTCTATACTACCTCAGTATACATGCTGATTTATCAATGCCCTTATCTGGATGGTTACAATACAACCCCGGTTTTCTTGTAGATAGGGATAGTTTTCAGGCCATTCCCAACGTGTTGCGCACAGAAATTCTCTCGTCAGGTCAATATTATCAGCAAGTTAACTCATTGGCAAACAATTCGTAATAGGCACGTAGCCGAGTGTTTAGAATGTTATCATTCTGAGACCAGCGTTCGAATCCGACCATACGCCTTTAATGATTCAGCGCTTTTTTTTTATTTTCCTTAAATCTCTTTTGAAGTCGAGATATTTTCCATCTTTTTATTTACAACTTTCTTCTTTTGCTTGCTTAAATACCAATATCCAATATCAGACATTTTTTTTGTTTATAAAGAACTAGATTTGGTCTTTTAGTTTGGATCTGATTACACATTTTTATTTCAAAGTTCGATAGAAATATTTTTAATTCCATAAAATAAATTCTGCTTTGTGCATATCCCACGGATTTCTAAACTCAAACCACGGTAATTTGCATTATTCCCAGTGGTTCACCATCTCCACCCAATCATGCTTATTACTTTCTTTGCTGCTATTATTTATCTTCAGTCTCGCCTCTTTCTATGCATAATAAGCATTTATGTATTTTGCTGTGTCACGTCTACCTGACAGAAGGAATTTTCGTTTATGTAGAATTCTTCTGGGTAGTCAATAAACTTGTATTTAAAGCATGATAAGGGTGGATTTTTAAGTTCAGTGTCATTTTCTGTTTATAGAATTTATATATTAACTACATGCAAATAAGTAAGGGCAGACAACTCCGTAATAGGCAAACTCCAACTATATTTAACATTTAAAGCAAAATTTATTTGGATTTCTCTAACCACTAACCTAGTGTGAAAATGATTGTTTGTTATACATGGTAACAATTTAGAAAACGGGAAAGAAAAAGAAATGAAAAGATCAATAACTATTTTTTACATTAAATATAGTTATAGTCATCAAATAAATATACGTTTATTTTGTGAAACAGTTATATTTATGTTAATTTGGAATGGAAAATAACGTTTCCTTTATGAAATAATGGCATTACTATAAAGGTGCCTAATGCAAGAGATTCTTAATAACTAAGGGGCGTTGGGCATTTTCCCAGTGTGCAATGAACAGAGGGTCTTAATAACAATGTATTGGAAAATCATTTAAATAGTAAAAAAAAGCGTGAAATAATAAACAAGGTGGGTGGTCTTACTAAGCCTAGAGGAGTGGGATAATGACCTAAAATGAATAAATAGATGTCCCCTCCTGTCTATTAAGTAGTAGTATTTCACGAATATCATCTACAACCAATACAATAAGTAAGTATAGATACGATATCTAAGAGGTTTTGTCCTCGAAAACTTGGAAATGAATCAAAGTTTTGACGTTTATTGAATAGAGTTCTAGCATTGTACATTTCATCTTATGTAAATAAGTAATTCTTAATGGAGATAATTAATTTGCATATTTCATTTTTTATCAATCAAAGCTTCATCTTATGGAGTGGTTATTAATTTTTCATTTATTTTCTTCCTTAAATGTCAATTCCTTAAATGTCAATTCCTTAAATGTCAATTCATTTACTTCATAAATTCATAAATTCATAATTTATTTCATTACAATTCATAAATTCATAATTCATAAATTCAATTGCTTAAATGTCAATATGATTTTTTTTTCAGTTTTTATTTTATTTTCAGCTTATTTTACCGGTCTCGGTAAAATAGACACCTAGGCTATTTTGCTGGTAAATATTTTATCATTATGAAGGCAGGTAATGTTAATAATAGCAACACGGAAGTTTATTTTCACCACCAATCGTTAAGACAATTTAAAATCTTTTCCATCATTTATTGTTAAAGCATAAGTTAAAATCATTTATTCATCATCAGTTATTAAAATAAATATACAAGTCTGAATATTTTAAGCATTTCAGGTATAACAGTCTCAGCAAATTTAAAATTTGCCCTTGGGTATTGTTCTCTTGCATTTCAGGTGAATCAACCGAAGACAACATTCACAGAAAAAAGAATCCATGTTGTTCAAGTTCTGCCTACGCAGCTCACACAGCCACTGCGCTGACGATCTCAATAAAATATATTTTTAGTTCTCAGACACTATTTATATTTACAGGCAAAATAGTCTTGGTTTCTATTTTAACAGGACCGGCAAAATAGCCTCTGTGTTTATTTTACCTGGACCGGTAAAATAGCCTTGGTTTCTATTTTAACAGGACCGGCAAAATAGTCTTTGTGTTTATTTTACCTGGACCGGTAAAATAGTCTTGGTTTCTATTTTAACAGAACCGGCAAAATAGCCTTTGTGTTTATCTTACCTGGACGGGTAAAATAGCCTTGGTTTCTATTTTAACAGGACCGGCAAAATAGCCTTTGTGTTTATTTTACCTGGACCGGTAAAATAGCATTTGTGTCTATTTTACTGGGATCTTGCCTAATTGTTTTTTGTTTAATGCATGCGAAAATAAAATCGTTATTATTATTGAGATGAGTCAAAGATTTTTTTTACCCATTTGAGGTACACAGTTACAGGTAAGAGGTACAGTTTATGCGGATATGTGGGAAAAATAAAGATTAAACTTATAACAGGTTAAGATTGTAGTGATCGGGGAAGCATCCGTTTGGGATTCAGTTCCACGGACCAGCAGTTCGTGGTAAGAAGCTGTTGGAGCGTAACTTACATTATGAGAGCGGTTTACTATAATGTGCGTAACATGGCGGGTCTCAGTCGTGAAGTTTAGAACTGGTGGGACTAAGGAGTGTAATTCGTCTGAGCACTTTCCGGGGTAAGAGATACTGTTTATGGGTGAGATAACGGTTAACCTTAGACTTAAACAGGTTAAGACTCCAGTGATCGTGGAAACATCCTTTTGCAAAATGGATTGGAGGTTGCTTTATTCTCGTTGAATATGGCTGTCATATCTGGTATTGTGTTCGTGCTGTATATCGATATATTCTTGACAAAATTCAAAGAAGGATCTGTAATATAATCAAATCCTGGCTTTCGTTTTCAGTCACTTTCTATCCGACTTTCTATTCCCTTTGCTCTTTCTATAAATATTTGCATGGCAACTGTTCTGATGACCTTTTTTCTCTAGTGACTCGACTACATGAATTTAAGCGTGCTACTCGATTGGCAGCCGTTTTATTGTTGAACTAGTAGATGCAACCGACACTTCTATTCTAACAGTTTCTTTTCTCGCACTTCTAACCTGTGAAAATCTCTTCCCATTCCTTTCTTAACTACCAACTACAATCTTATTTTTTTTAATGTAACGCCAATCGCCATCGTTTGTCTTCTTGAACCCTGTTCCTTTATTGTCCATTCTTCACCTCTCCTCACTATTCCCACTCATTCCTCATTCTTCCCACCCCCACTGCGTTCTAGTGACATTATAGCCTTGCTTTGAGTGAAATGATTAATAAAAAGTAAATTGCTGCTGTGAACGGGGATAAGAGGCTATTTTTTTTCTGATTATCGCAGACAGAACATGGTTAATTAAAAAAAAATGAAAACCTTCAGATGTGACACGGTTGTGATTGCAATTTAATGCAGTCTTTTT